AATGCTGAAGTGTATAAAGTAAAAAAAAAAAGAATGGGGATATATCCTTCTAGACATTTTTATAAGTATATACAATTGTACATTAATAAATAAATGTTTGTTATGTACTAGCTACTTATAAATTATATACACATTTACATACATATATAACTTGTTCCTTATAACTATAAAAACATAGTTTAAACATTACTTTTAAATTTTTCATCATTTCACAACATATCAAAACATTTCTCCTAGTCAGAATGTATATGTATACAATTGTTCCTAACAGCTAAGTAATGTTTCACTGTCTTAGTCATTCACTCATTCATTTATTAATTCAACAAATATCTATTAAATCTATTAAGAATTCACTATGTGCCAGGGACTGTTCCTTATAACTATAAAAACATAGTTTAAACATTACTTTTAAATTTTTCATCATTTCACAAATCAAAACATTTCTCCTAGTCAGAATGTATATGTATACAATTGTTCCTAACAGCTAAGTAACGTTTCACTGTCTTAGTCATTCACTCATTCATTTATTAATTCAACAAATATCTATTAAATCTATTAAGAATTCACTATGTGCCAGGGACTACTATAGATACTGGAAATATATCAGTAAACAAAACAGACAAAAATGCCTACCCTCATGTAGGTAATATGCTGGTTGGGGGGCAGAGTCATGCTCAGAGGCAGTATTGGGGAATGTATGATAATACACCTAACCAATTCCCACTGAGTGACATTCATATTGTCACCAATTTTTTACATTTATTTTGTATTATTTTTTAAATAGATAAATGGTATGTATTTATCATGTACAACATAATGTTTTGAAGTATATTTACATGGAGGAATGACTAAATCTAGCTAATTAACATATTTTGGCTACTATAAGTCATATTATAATAAATAACTTTGTTCACTCTTAGGAATATTCCTGGGATTTAAATTCCTAGAACTGGAATTACTGAGTCAAGCAATGTAAGATTTAAAAAACCCGATAGATATTATTAAATTTCCCTTCAAATGGTTATGCCATTTTATAGTCCTACAAACAGCCCATGAAGTGTGATTCCCATCACACTTATTAAAAAAAACTTTTCACTTCTACCAATCTTAATGTGCTCAGTTCTTTCACCTTCAGTAAAGCTGAGCATCATTCACAGGTGAATACTCCATTTACAATTCCTCTGTAAGTTATTCAGACACTTGTTTTTCTACTGGGTTCTTTTTCTTACTAACTTGTAGGTGCTCATTATGTATTGTGGCTATAACCTCCTGTTACAGTTGTTGTTAATATTCTTCTACCAGTTCATTATTTATACTTTAAATTTCCTTATTATATTTGTCACCAAATGAAAAGTTTTCATCATTATGCGGTCGAATGTGATGATCATTTAGGTTTCAGGATTCCATGTTAGGTATATAAAGGCTCTCACCACCACGGTAATTTTTTTTAAAGTTAACAGTATTTTCTTCTAGTATATTTAGTGTTTCATCCTTTCTTTCAACAACTATAAAGCTAAATCTAAACTGGTGAAGGATCAACACACCAAGCAGACAAACTGGGACCAAAAACACCACTATTCCTCTCACTATAGCACAGAGATTTGTCAAAATTATTTTCCAAGAGATACATTGATTATAGCTTACAAATAGATATTTACCTATCCATAACAATTTTCTGAACTCCATTTTATTTGGATTTTCTCTTCACTATGAAAACTGAATAGCTACTTATTTTACTGGTTATCCCCTAAATTAACCGTTCTTAAAGAACACCTTAGCAGAGTCTTTTTCAGGTTCAGGACAAAGATTGAGATATGCCATTAAAATCTTAAAAGAGCAATTTTTTTCCTAATTTACTAGGAAAAAATAAGCTGGAGGATAGAATTTTCTCAACTTAAGATTTTCCTCTATGATTTTTCATAAAGCTTTGACACCTCCCATTTCTTTCTCTTTTTTTCTCCTCCCATTTCTTATCTACCAGAAAGCACTGTCAAATGACAAAAATAAATGAAGTGTAAAAGAATAATTTTTTAAAATAAAATTAAGATTTTCCTCTATGATTTTTCATAAAGCTTTGACACCTCCCATTTCTTTCTCTTTTTTTCCCCTCCCATTTCTTATCTACCAGAAAGCACTGTCAAATGACAAAAATAAATGAAGTGTAAAAGAATAATTTTTTAAAATAAAATTTAAAATAATCAACAATGCTTATTGTGAATGGTTCTCTTTATTGGCATACATGATTTTACTTTCAGTTTTTACATTTATATAAGACAACCATATTTAAAACTAGTCCTAATTCAGGGCTGGCCGGTTAGCTCAGTTGGTGAGAGCACAGTCTTGTAACATCAGGGTCAAGGGTTTGGTTCCCTGTGCCAGCCAGCCACTAAAAAACAAACAAACTACTCTTAATTCAAAGAATACTACAACATTCAGGTGTTCTTCCACACATACAAGTTTGAGAACCGGAGATAAAAATAACTTGATTACTGTAACTGTTTTAGAATGTTTCCTCGAATTAATGACAACTGGATTGCAGACATGGACACTACACTAATCTTTCAGTCATGAACAAATAGCTACAGTTCATATTTTGTATAAATATTTTGAAGTAATGTTGGCTTTCCTAAATTTAAACAGAAATTTCTAAGAATGTTTATTCTACAAGCACATTTATATTCTGGACATTCAATAATTATTTGTTAATTATTAACAGGTTCAATGTATTCCAAATATTTTAAGAATTAAAAACAAAGAAAAAAGATCAGATTCTGTAACTATAAATAATATCAGGAACTCAGTTTGGAGGCAATGAGGTAAGCTATAAAATACAGATGCAAATGTTATAGAATATAATGTCTATAACTTACTCTCAAATGGATCAGTAAAAACAATAATGATAGAGGGAGAGAGACAGAGAATTTGCATTGTGTGTGTGTAAGGGGGGGTGAGAAAGAAGGGTGCATTTTAACAACTGATGAATCTAGTTTATGCAAGAGTTCATTGTACTATTGAAACTTTTCTGTAAATTTAATTTTTTAATAAAAAGTTCAAAAATTCATAAAGAAAATTAAGAAAGCATATACAGCTTTGTTCTATTAGGGCAAACTCATCTTGGGCAGAGTGCATGAAGTTATGCCCCCCTTTAAATGGTAGCTTTTGAACTTTCAGTACGAAACACAATGATAAAAGGAGCTGTCCCCAACCATTCCCTCTGTCAACCCCACCCCCACTGCCCAACCAACCTGCTCCAAGTTGGAACAATCAACCTAGACTTTGAAGCATAACACTCTTACGGATAAAGCATAAACTTTAAATTGACTTATTATCCAGATGAAAAAGTTGTGCCTAAAGAGAGAATGGTGGCACATTCACATTCTATTACTTATTTTTTTTTAACTTTATTTTATTTTGTCAACATACAATGTGGTTGATTATTGTAGCCCATTACCGAAACCTCCCTCTCCCCTCCCTCTTCCCCTCCCTCCCAACAATGTCCTTTCTGTTCACGTGTCATATCAATTTCAAGGAATTGTTATGGTTGTTTCTTCTTCCCTCCTCCCCCCCAGGTTGTTTGTGTATTTATTTATTTATTTTTAGCTCCCACAAATAAGTGAAAACATGTGGTATTTCTCTTTCTGTGCTTGACTCATTTCACTTAATATAATTCTCTCAAGGTCCATCCATGTCGTTGCAAATGGCAGTATTTCATTCTTTTTTATAGCAGAGTAGTATTGTATTGTATAGATATACCACATTTTCCGTATCCACTCATCTGATGATGGACATTTGGGCTGGTTCCAACTCTTAGCTATTGTAAAGAGTGCTGCAGTGAACATTGGGGAACAGGTATACCTTCGAATTGATAATTTCCATTCCTCTGGGTATATTCCCAGCAGTGGGATAGCTGGGTCATATGGCAGATCTGTCTGCAATTGTTTGAGGAACCTCCACATCACTTTCCATAGAGGCTGCACCATTTTGTAGTCCCACCAATAATGTATGAGAGTTCCTTTTACTCTGCAATCTCGCCAGCATTTATCGTTCACATTCTATTACTTATAAAGCACTGAAGCATTTACTTTTGAATAAAAATTGAAAGAATTTTCCCACTCTAATATTCTGAGTAAATTAATAACCTAATGCTCAATGAATAATACAAATGTAGCTAAAATAACAAATGAAAAGAGGAGACATTAGATTTATATTTTCTCTGCAATGTAACTAATTAGCAAATTAAATGTTCTTTTCCTATAAGTATTTTTCGAGAATCTATTTTGACCAATATCCATATTATAATAACGATATATTTCTTTAAAAATTTTTAAAACATCTCATGGCCAAAGTAAAACCTCTAAACACTTCTGCCCAGGGCCAGCCCGGGGCTCACTTGGGAGAGTGCGGTGCTGATAACACCAAGGCCATGGGTTCGGATCCCTACATAGGGATGGCCGGTTAGCTCACTTGGAGAGCGTGGTGCTAACAACACTAAGGCCACAGGTTAAGATCCCCTTACCAGTCATCTTTTTTAAAAAATAATAATAATAAAATAAATAAATAAACACTTCTGCCTAGGACCACCAGTTTGCAACTTTTGTCTTAAAGCAGCAATTCACTTTTAAAAATTCAAGTTCTGGTTCAGTGATGGAAAAGAACACACATTAATTTAATTGAATTGTATGCATCCTATTTTGTATGTGAAACACATATATTATTTAAAACCATGTCTTAATATTTCATTTGCAAAAATAAATCCACAAAAACCAATCTTTATAAGAGTCAATGCTTTCAAAATTCCACTATGTTACTGGTAAATCTTTAAACCCAACTGATTTTATATATAGAAAGTAAGGAAAATTATTTTTTCAACATACTTGGATTTAGAAAAAATACAAATTATATTAGTTTTTATTTTGGCATCCCACATATAACAAAGTACAAAAGAAAGATATAGTTAATCTATTTTGCATCCATTTTTCTTTTTTACTACAAATACTCACCTAAGGATGCACAAACAAATTTTGCCTCCTGATGTAAGTCTGCAGAATCCAAATCTCTGTTTACTTTCAATGTCTGTCAGTACAAAGGTAAAGTGCTGTCCAACTTGATTTTGAGACACCCTAAAATATAGTAACATTATGAGACATTAAGCCTGTCGGACAATTTTCTAAACAAAAACAAAAATATATTTACATGTGGCACTAGTTTCACCTTTCCAATCAGTTGGTTCTTGAAGCTATGTTCTAACACAAAATGGGTGTGAAATGTGTAAACTAAATCATGAGTCAAACATCAAAATGAGTTGTAATACCTCATAGACCGAGCAATTCAGCAGAGACTAATCTCATACTATGAAATCATAGGGTAGTTCACCCTAAGTTTTCATAAACTATAAGTACTCATAAAATATTACATAAATTATCAAAATAATTATTATCAAAACTATAGAATTAAGAAGCTAGATGTGACTGGGTCTAGCTTTTACTAGACTTTAGCCTCTCTTTTCTCAATTATTCTAGAACTTCTTAGATAGCAAATCGAGTTGCTTTAGAATCTAATGGCACACGCCACCAACTCTGTTTAATTGCTTCTCCTGTTGACATTCTCACCCAATAAAGTACCATACAAAATACTCCTGGTATTTTTTTAGAATTCTCTTTTAAAGCTACCAATACACTGAAGAATTAACGTCCAAGTACAAAATAAAAATACAATTTCTACAAAAAAAAAAAGCTTACTGATTAAGCTGTAGGATTTTTAGCTAATTTTGAACAAAGTATTACACTTCCATAACATGTGCCATGTGTATAAGGGACAATATGAACCATCAGACTGAATCTTTATTTCTATTCAGAATATATGAATATATTCTTGGTACTGGCTATAATCCTCCATTACATAACCATAATTGGAACTTCTCCTTGTCTCAAAATAAAATATTCATGGCACCTAAACCTTGGTTTTGAAATGGCCATAGAAATTGTGAAAAAAGAACTAAGTTACTACCTGTGTGCCAGTTCTACAAACAGTTTAGTCAGGCAATATTGCATTTCAAATGCTGGTTATTTTACAAATACACTTGTAAATGGACAGTTTTTTAACAATTTTTATAACCTTCAAAGCAAAACCTCCAGTGGCTAATATGCCCTCCAGTGCCCAAGGTTCATAATACATAATATCCTTTCATAGCTTTTCTTCCTTGATTTTACGCTTACTGTTAATTTGAAAATTGCAGCTTGGCGGGGGTGGGGGTGGGGGGGGACACAACTAATTCCCCAGAAGTGAGATAAAACAGAGTCTCACTCATCAGCAATAGTTATTAGTATCATCAGCCCATCATTCAGAAGGTTTTATCTTCAATTCAGTTAAGTTTTAGTCTCACTAATCTTTACTTTAGCAAAATATTTTCCTAAAATAAACTTTCTTTTAAAAACCCCTCATACTACACTCTTAAAAAAACGGATAACAGGGTGTGAAAATCACATGAAAAACAATAAATGAACTGTTACTACACTCAAAAGACTATATATTCTATGAAATTCCAACTACATACAAGTAGTTCATTCAGTATTTGTTTAGTAAAATACAAACATAGTGAGATTTTCAGAACTGCTAGAAGGGTTTCCCTGTTGTCTTCCATAATATTGCACTATTTCTATAAAGCTATTCTTGGGAGACAACTAGCCGTGAGTTTCACATCATCACACAGATGGTCTTTTCAATTAGGATGAAGTGAGATAGAAATCAGGATATATACACCTAATTTCAAAAGACACAATTCGAAGGCTTTAACCAAGGCCATACTAATATTTTTTTTTCTGCTAGTGCTTACAAATGTACCTGAAGAATAAAGGGAAGAAATATAATCTATTGGCAATGCTGCTTTAAGACTCCCAACCCACCACAGTGGGGAAAACAAGAGAAATAATAATTTAAAAGGATTATTTTATTACAAATATTATTTAATTTTAAATCTCTAGCCTTTTTTATTAGAAGCAGTGAAGAGAAGGTACATTTCATTTTCTAAAAAAGCAAACGTAATCATTTAAAAGTGTGCACTAAGATAAGCTAAAGTTATTTCAAATGATGACTTATACTGTACCTTTCAACGTCAAAGGGGAAACAGAATTTTGGCACGCTCTGAAGTACTTCCTACAAAGGCAAATTAAAAAAAAAAAGTTTTAGAATATTTTTTAAAGATGCATTTAAAACTTTTTTGAGACATTTTCTAGAAAAAAAAAATAAGTTTGTCTCTTTTCCTTAAGAAATTGCATAGGTTCCTAGACCAAAATAATTGATTATTAAAAAGGAATTAAGTTTGTGCTTTGGCAGATTGCACTGACAATGCCATGGAAGCCCCAGGAGGGAAAGGCCTGGCCTGAAGGGTATTAACACCCTTCACATCCCCGCTGGGATTCCCTTCAACACGGCCATATGGATTTTACAAGAAGCACCACACCATATGGGTAAGCTACGTCTGCTGCTACTTGTACCACAGACTAACCATAGGGACTTCTGACAGATCCTGGCTCAAAAATATAAATGTTGTTTCAATTAAAATGCAGGCAGAGAAAAGGGAATGAAGTTGGCAGCAGAATGAATTACTGAGAGGTATAACAACTCTACACGCCCCATAGTCAAGCAGTTTAAAAAAAAAAAAGAAAGATTTTTTATAGCTAAAGAAAGACATTTATACCTTTCAGCTCCTGATACTAATTTTTATCTTAAACAACACTGCTAAAGAAATGTTATCTAAAAACAAGCCTTTAAATTAAACATAGCATCTATTCTATGCACTTTCATTTAAGAATTGTCTAATATGAAAATCAATGTTTTAATTAAACATAGAAAATAATCTGATTGATTTTGAAACCTTCAATAATTTTATAGTCATTATAAAATAATTTCAAAACCTATCAGAAATCATATGCATTAACAATTATAACAAAATGCAAATAATTGTCAGCGTTTGTCCAAAAAATGTTTTTAAAAGGTCTATTTTGCTATATCTGAAAAACCATTTCAGATTAACTCTGATTCAAAAGTTAAACTTTGGAATTGAAGACATCACACAAGTTCAAAGTCAGGTGATTATACAAAACAAAGCAGAGACTGATGAGGAAGTTTCCTATTAAAAAGAAAAAACAGCAAATATCTTAATGCACTAGTCATGCCCCCCAAGAAAAATACCTTAGCTACCACCTCTCTACCAATAAAACTTGCATCCAGAGAAATCATCAATATTTGAATACTTAAAACCCTATATATAAATATAGCATTAAGTGTTTTAAAGTAGAATTTCTTGCATTCATTTAAAATGTACACTGCAATAGGGTACCAATTAAAAATAAAACATTGTAAACTTCCAATACCAATACCTAAGAAAGCTTCAAGTGCCTTAAGAACCCACAGAAACAGAAAGAAAAGCATCATGTAAAAAAAGCAATCTTCTATTCTCAGGGCAGGGTACCCTAGTTTGCTTATGAATATGTACCTTTAAATGTCTGAGCACAGAACCCATATTCAAGAAAGCTACCTATTTTGCTGACAATATATTGTTAAATGTAATTAAAGGAGTCACTAAACTTGAAATAACTTAAATTACTTAAACTAAAAAACAGTTCATTACAAAGGAGAACAGTTTATTTTCATGTGACCATTGCTTATCCTTATCTTGTGCTGCATAAAGGGAAGCCATTTACCATATTTACTACACATCTGAACACTATTCATATATCTTCCTGCAAAATTGTCCACATAATTTCTGTAACAATAAAGAACACATATTCGAAGTTCAATGTCTGCCTCTAAATATGCCAAATTAGTAATATATTCCACATCAGTTTTAAGACTCAAATTAAGAAGAATGCTTCCCAGTTAGCTGTTCAGTCTTTCACACCCTCCCCCTCCCTTCTTCTACAAGTAACACACATACACACACTTCTGCAAAACAGCCTCAGCTCGCTTCCCAACTGGCAGAAGCATCCCTCAGGGGACAAGTCTTTAAACCTCCGCACTCTTTAAAATTCAACCAGCCAGCAGGTCTATAGACTAGTGTATAAACAGTATAGACAAAAAAATCCTCTCTCAGCTTATGTCAGTGACAAAGCAGCTCAGCAGTTGACTGTTTCTCCCCTGACAGTATAAGCTGGGTTTACACAGATCAATAGCTGGAAGTCCTACCTAGCTCTCGGGGCTTGGTTTTCTTCTTTAATTACAGGTGCTATTCAAACTGAAGTTAAAAAAAGAAAAGAGAGGGAGAGAGAGAGAGAAAGAGTTGGAGGGAGAAATAAAATTAATGCAAATAGCTCTTTTGGATTTTTTTTGGATAGCACTAATTGAAAATTATACTTCTACATTTACTGGAAGCATTCATAATGGCTCTAGTTTTTCCACCACACAGTGTATACACACACACACACACACACTCACACTAATTTTAGGTTGGCATCTATAGTTTATGTGAAAGGATTAAGATAATATTGAAGCATTCATAATGGCTCTAGTTTTTCCACCACACAGTGTATACACACACACACACACACACACACTCACACTAATTTTAGGTTGGCATCTATAGTTTATGTGAAAGGATTAAGATAATATTCGCCAGAAGTTTTCAGTTTTCCCCTTTCTTACAGGCTTTTGTTTAGCCAAGAGAAATTATCTGGGTTTCAGAATCCTCCTAAATCTCCAAAACATTTTATTTTTATACAAAAGAGCATATTGGCTAACACATGTCAAATGACAAAAGTAGAAATAACAAAAAGAATGGAATATAATTCAAAGTTATAAATAGCAAAATTCAAGGGGTAATAATACATATTTCTGTATATGTCCTAAAAACAACACATCTACTATTCTATTAATGACCAGAAACAAGGACTGATGAAAATTTATACATTGGGTTTTTTTGGTCCCATATTAATGTATCTCTGGTAATAAACATTATAATGAAATTAATCTCATAAGAGAAAAGGGAGAGAAGAAAGTAGTATACTAAGTCTTTGTCCCATGAGGTTACCATTTAGCACTATAAATTGATCAACTAAAAGGGGAAACCAGCATTTAAGAAAGACCCTCGACTTAAAAAAAAAAAAACACTAAAATATGTAAAGTTTACATGCTGATCAAAGTTCAACAACTGCAAAAGCTTTAGAATTTCTCTGAGAAAAATCTAAGATGAAATATGTCATTGTTGATATCAATAATTCTTTTTACTCTTTCTCAACCACTTCTTTCCCCACCATATAATGAAATGCTGGTGTTCTCTTAAGTTCCATATTCTCTTCTCTTCCCTATTCAATAAGGTATACCTGCCTAGGCAAATCTCTTCTACACCCATGGTTTCAACCACAATTACTGAATCTCTTAGTCTTACAGTCTAGACATTTCTGGGAACTCAGGAACTATACCTAACCACTTTCTGGCATCACTTTCTAAATATTCCCAGACACCTCAAGTTCGTAATGTACAAAACTGAAGTTGTTATTTTAGTTACGATCCTTATCACCTAGAACAGCAGCACCACCTAGCCAGTTACCCAAACTAAAAACACGGTAGTCATCCAGACCCCTCTGTTTCCCTGACGCCCATATATAATCAATCATTCACCAAATCCTTCAATTCCACTTCATAACTATCTTGCTCCAGACGTCCTCGAGATGGGAGGGTAGAAACAATTAGAAGAAAAATGAAAAGGTATCAGAATCACTTTGGAGGATTTTTCAAAACACATTTGATTGCCTAGACTGTAAACCCACAAGCGTCCTGCAGTTTGAACTCCACCTATAACTAAGGAATAAGACTAACAGTGTCAGTTAAGGGTACTTAACGTATGTAAGTAATAGTTATACTCTCACAGCAAGAAGTGACAAGGTAAACTTGTCTGGGGACTGTCTAATTCAACATTCACCTCAAGGACTCAGGAGTCTTCTCTGCTTCTGCTCCGCTGGGCTGAGTTTGCTTTGTCCTCAGCTACCTTTACACATGGTCACAAATAAGCTGCCAGAGTTCAGCACATCTCATGATGACACAGCAGTGTCGAGTGAGAGAAGCAATTCTTTCTGTGAGTCTCTTTTTATCGGTGAGGAAACCTTTCCCAAAAGACTTTCCCATATAATTCACCACAGTGTCACAAGCCACCCCCAGACTCATCACTGGCAAAGGAAATGGCTAGCTATGCTCAGTTTAGCCTTAGACTAGTTAGAGGAAAAGTCAGGATTCAAAACCATACATGTTCCAATAACCATCACATGTAATTATAAAGAAGCTTGAGAGAAGTATATTTTCTTTCTTAAGAAACCTCACAATAATAATAATCATATAATTAAATTTATAATAAAGCTCAAGAAATATATAATATGGTATTATATAAGAATAATTTTCAAATATCCATAGTTTTATTTGTATGAATAACACTTTCAGAACGATTTTGCAACAACAAAGGGGATACTTGTCAATTTTTATCAAATTTTTCACAAAGGCTATGGATTTCTAAAAAGATGATTATTTAATTTTGAATATTATCTCCCCATATAAATGAGAATTAACTAATACTATGTATTCATTCAATCTATTTGTGTTTACACAAGGTAGTTATTTTTCCTTGAAAGAAACATGCACTGAGCTATTTAGCCACAAGCACGTTCCATAGCACAGAACCGAGATTCCCAAACCGTGCACTGAGATGTTCCGCAGCACCACAGCGAACTCTCAACGACACCGCCAGATATTTTAAATTTTCAAGGGAAACGCAGCTATACTGACAGTAATTAAATCATGATGCATTTTATCAAATGGGAGAATTACATTAATATGGTAAATTACATAGACAGCTTCTTTAAATATCTTTTTTTTTTAAGAAGTGTTCTAAACATACGGAATTTATTTT